AGTTTAAATCTTAATTAATCTCGGCTGATTAAGAGAATACAATTTCATGCAAATTAAATTAAATGTGGTCATAAAAAAATAAAAATAAAAAATCCTGTACTTGTCCTTAATTAATAAAATTCAGATCCAAGAATCGGTAGTCATGAGATAGTGGAGTATAAAATTTCAGTTTTGCGAATGCCAAGTTGTTAGGGTTGAAGACATATATAACTCCAAATTGCGTTTAAGTCTTTGTTCTTTTAAATATTTCAATTTGCATTGGTCCTTAAAAGTCAAGCACGCGTTCTTTTGGACACAATAGTAACGCGACCCAAAAGATAAATCCGCTAAGTATACTGAAATAAAACAAATAATTATACATGTCATGCGTTTGGATTATGACATATAATGAATCTGATGACTGATATATAGGGCTAAATAGAAAGTCTTCGACACAAAACCATTAAATAGACATTAATGTAAATCTAACGATAGTATATATACCACATTGCATTCATATTGTTTTAAATTATGCATGTCACTCTTAGCTTTAATTTACTTCTTAGATATGTAAGTTTATTATAAAAAAAGTTTCTCTTAGCTTACCTTCTTGGACATTGTATAGAGTCAACTATACTATAAGTTAAAGACTGGTCAAATTATTTACTAAATCAAGTAAACTTTTACACAGTAAAACTGATGACAAGTGACAACCTGTACTTTCCTTTCCAATGCGCATACACAAGTAAGTTGAAGAAATAAGGTAGAAACTTCTTAAAGGAATGGTTCCTGCGGAAGGGACATTCGATTATGGGAAAATTGGGATTCACGCAATTGAGGAGACATTATATATACTGTCTTTTAAAGTGAATTACTAGTATTATTTTTCTTTCTTTCTTTTTTAAATCTTTCATTCTTCATTATATGGTTGTGGGAAATGAATAATTTAAAAAAGCAAAAGGTAATTTTGGAGCTTTTAAGCTTGGAGATGTATATGCTATATTTAAAGTCTTTTCTTTGTTCCAATGAACATCTTGATTTAAGTATAAATTTCTGCCAAACAATTGAACAACACGTTTCTTAGTTCCATGCACTCCCTTTTGCCCAAAAGTAATACTACTAAAAAGTCACTTAGCATCAAGCGTTGATACCTTTCTTCTTTTCTTTTTTTTTTTTTTTGTAATTAAAATTTTATTACCAAGTAACAACTTTGCAATTCTTATTTTGTAGCTTGTTCTGGACATACATCCCAGACTAAGCTACTACTTCTTTCTATACTTCCTATATCCTTATCTATACATTAGTCTAAACAATAGGATATGAATTCAACTCTTTCAACCTTTTTCCCAGACATTTCTTCGCACTTCCTCTGCCATGGATGTCTTGTACTAAGCTTCTTGTGATTGCTTCAGCATTGCTTTCCACTTCTTTGAAAATTCTCGAGTTCCTTTCTTGCCAAATGTAGTATATGCTTCCAATCAGTGCCATTCTGTATATCTCAGCCTTTGCACTTTTTCCACCACAATATTGCTCTGCCCATTTTAGTTCGTGATCCCAATCCACAACTGGTCTATTTATTTTCATCCATCTTAGCATAGCAGCCCATATTTTCGTTGAGAATGGGCACATGAAGAATAGATGGTCTATGTTCTCTGCTTCTGCTTTGCACAATGGACATGCCTCTTCTTCAACATATCCCCAAGCTTTCAGTCTATCTCTCGTTTGAAGTCGTCTGTGAGCTGCCAGGAATCCCACAAAGATCCATTTAGGTAAGCCTGCATTGTTCCAGATAATCCTCCGCCATGTCACTTTGTTGTATTGTCCTCTTTTCTTCAGGTACATCTCTTTTTCTTTGAAGTTCTGCATTCTGAGTACATCTTCTTCTGAATAGCCATCTTCTTCAAAGTACTTCTTAACTTTGAAAATTTTCTGGATCACCCATGAAGCCTGCTTAGGTATAGTCCCCCAACCAGGATTGTATTTCTTGTAGTAGACATGGATCCATTGAACCCACAACTTGTCTTTCTTTTTGCACAGGTTCCATAGAAGTTTACACATTGCAGCCTTATTCCATGTGCCTATATCCATCAAGTTCAAACCACCTGCTACCTTTGGGAGATACATCATGTCCCATGCTATAAGAGCTTTCTTTGTATTCTCCACATTTCCTGTCCATAGGAACTTCCTGCATATACTCTCAATTAGTTGTACAATCTTCTTAGGGAGTAGGAAGATTTGAGACCAGTATATTTGTATCGAGAATATTACACTTTTGATAAGTTGCACTCTTCCTGCATACGTTAAGAATCTTGCAGTCCATGCCTTGATTCTTCCTACCATCTTCTCAAGCAGAGGTTGGTACTGTATCATTATCATCCTTTTAGTGCTCAAAGGTACTCCCAAGTATTTCACTGGGAGTGTCCCTTTTGTAAAACCCAGCATGTTCAGAATCTCCTGTTCAATGTCTTCTCAAACCCCACCAAAATATATGAAACTTTTCTCTGTGTTAGCATTTAAACATGAAGCTTTTGAAAACTCTAAGAAGCACTGATATAGCATCTTCACAGACACATAGTCACCTCGGCAGAATAACAAGAGGTCATCAGCAAAACTAAGCTGAATTATGTTCAATTTAGCACATTTTGGATGGAAGTTAAAATCTGGGCTTCTTCTTAGAGTCTTCAGAAACCTTGTAAGATATTCCATAGCCAGAACAAATAGATAGGGAGATAATGGATCGCCTTGCCTCAATCCCTTCTTTGCTTTAAAAGGTACTGAATGTTGCCCATTGATGACTATGGAGTATGATACACTTCTCATGCATATCATAATCCAATTTACAAATTTAGCTGGCAGTTGTATACTCCTTAGCACCTGCTCCATATAATCCCATTCAATTGAATCATATGCTTTCCTCATATCAACTTTTAGCATGCACCTGGGAGATATGCCCTTTCTGCTATATCCTTTGACAAGTTCATGACTCATCAATATGTTATCATTAATCAATCTTCCTGGTACGAAGGCTGACTGACTTTCATCTACAATGTCATTCATAACTCCCTGCAGTCTGTTAGTTAGTATCTTTGAGATTATCTTGTAGAGAATGGTACAGCAAGAAATTGGTCGAAACTCAGTCACCCTAGTTGGATTAGGAACCTTAGGAATTAATGTCACTGTGGTTGTCTGGTTGATACCTTTCTTTTTACTATGATTTTCCAAAACAACCCAAAAATGGAGTAGATTATAATAAGTATTCTAGATCCACATAAATTGTAAACGTTATGGATCAAGTTTTTGGAGTACTTATAATAATAGTATATATTAAGATCATGAGTTTGAGCCAAGTTGCCCAGTTGTCAAAGAAATGCTGAAGTTAAAGTTTCCTTGTCTTATTAGTCATGGTTGATTAAGTAATTTAGAAGAACTTTATTAAAAATATTCTTTTGATTAATTGTCTAATTATTAGTAAAGTTAGTGAGAGATCTTTTTCCTTGTAGGCATTCTGAATTGTCCTTTTTCTCCCAGTAGTTTTCAAGTGAAACTTATAAACTCAAACAAGTATTTCTGAAGGTTTACTAAGACACAAGCATAAAGCATAAAGGCATATATACCTTTCTCTGTCTTTTGGCTAAGAGGGTAGAGGAAAATCGACCCCTCGTTACCCTACTTATTTTCGAGAACAAAGGACATTCAACATGATCATGCAAGGTTAAAACTACGTATATTTGTTGTAGGGGTGTACATGGATTGGGTTGGTTCGGTTTTTATTAAAATCAAATTAAATCAACTATATCGGTTTGGATTGGTCCGGTTTTGTCGGGTTTTTTCGGGTTTTTCGGATTTTTTTGTTATATGAATACAATGTCAATCTTACTCTGTTAAATTTTTTATAAGTAAATATATGTTTAATAAAAATAAAAAAATTGACAAACATATGATCTATTAAATATTCTTATGAGAAATTTTTTTTAAGTAACATGATACTTGTTTTTTTAGTTATCTGACAATAATTTTTCGTTGATGTACACTTTCAAGGTTAACCGAATTTAATAATTAAATATAAACCTAAATATTTATATGTTCTATTTAATTTTCAATTATCGAAATACCACTTCAAATACGAAAAAGATATAAGAATTTAATAGATCTTGACATATGAATAAGGAAGAACAAAGAGATTGTCGCAGTTTCAATAACACTTGATAAGAAAGTGATCGTACAACATATCATTTAAAGTTAATAAAAAATGGAGCAGTTCATATTCTATTAAATATTACATCCCGTAAGAGAATCTCAAATATTCCTAGATAATTTTTAAAGTGAATTCTATATAAAGTCTAAAAGTATATATAGAAATCACGTATTTATATGTCGGTTTGGTTCGGACTTTTTTAATCAATACAAAACCAAATCAAACCAAACCTAGTTGGGATTTTTAATCGGTTTGGTTTGACTTTTCTGTTTGATACGGTTTTCCGGTTCGGTTGTACACCCCTAATTTGTCGTTTGGTAGGGTTCCTTTATGTTTATATATGAAGACGTATGCTGAAAACTACTTCCTTACAGGCTTACACCCGGTATTAAACAATTAAGTGGTAAAATTGCAAACATGTCATTTAGTTATTTGCTTAATATAAACACTAAGTGTGAGTGAAAAAATTTCGTGTTTTTAACAATCAGGTGTTTGATTGGCCACTTTCATATGCTATACTACCATTTAGCATTACTTTCATGCAATTTCACGAGTTTGTTTGCAAAGAGAATTTTAGCGTTATCCAAAAAAGCGAGAGTTAACTCATTCTAACATCGGCCAGATCGGGTTTGGTATGCTTAAGAGTAGCACTAGCAAAAGTCGTATAGATGTCTTTAAACGTGATTATTGGTTCAAATTCATATTAACAAAAATTTACAAGAAAGAAAAGAAAATGCAAATCCACCATAGCTAAAATAAAGTTGTGAGTGCTGCTCCGGCAATCACCTTAAAAATGGGCTGGAGTGTTCGATTTAATTAAAACAACTTTGCTCGCACAAACAGGAACAGATATTAATGTGTCATTGTCTTTAGACAACAACTAGGAAGACTAACAGATTCAAGGAACAATGGCCTGGTACACATGAAACAACCTGCTTTATGGTACAAGGGTAACAAAAGCTGAATATGGTTATAACATATTCATAAGAAATTATGTTAATTGTACTCCTACACAATCTCTTGGCTAAACAATTGCTGATAAATTATCCTCATCTACTGATGGCGAAAAAGGTCTCTGCCATCGGAAATGCACAATGAAACACTCGAGGTGATTTCACCAATTCAGTATGTAAATGCAAAATTCCTGAAGCTCAAAGGTAAAACAGAGGTCTCAGCACCACATTTTTCTTTTTCTTTAAAGTCGAAATTTGAGGGTACAAGAAGGCAACAGTCTGATAGTCACTATATGATACAGCATGCCATAAACCTGCACTGCTCCAAAGGTTCGAATTAGAGGACAGAAGTTTCATCTTTTCAGATCTGTAATTGTGTTTCCTGTAGTTGTTCCAAAGAATTTGGTCAGCATATAACAATAAAGGTTCCTATAGAAGCCAACGGTTCAAGGTATTTAGAGATCAGAAGCAGCCAGTTTGACTCTTCCTCATAACATGGTGTGAAACAGGATTTCTGAAACTTGACAAGAACATCCAACAGAGACATTTCATTCTGCCGTTCAGCCGTTCTGTTTAGGAGTAATGGTCAATTGTGCAAGCTCTCATGTAAGAAACACATTTGTCATTCATTCCATATCACTAATGGTCTTGGAATTCCTTAAGCTCTCACAACCTGGACAATTGTGCAAGCTCTCATGTATATAAATATCACAATCAAGGCAGAAGTGTTGTTTGCAATTTGGACAAGCAACCTGTAGACCTGGCAAATTTCCTGCATCAATCAAATAGAGAGAAAAACTGAGCTAATTTTGATCCTAAGTGAGCTAACAGTTGAATTAAGAGCTGAAATTTTCAAAATGATCTAAGGAAGATCAATGTAACAATTTTTTTTGGATTTTTTTTTGAAAGTTTTCTCTTGTTTTTGGATTTTAGATCTAGAGAATTTTGAATTTGAAATTCAGATTTGAGCTGATGAAGACTTGTGAAAGTGGAAGGAATTTTCAGAGCTTCCAAACTTGCCAATGAAGGCAAATGTGAGAAGCTGTACATTAAGTTAGCATAAGAAAAGGCAGAATGCTCTTTTCCAAATTTTATGATCCCAAGCCATGGTTGGTCCAAACACGGCTCATTTTTCTGAATCATTTCCCAGTTCAACAGAAGTCATCAGAAATTTGTCAAAAAAAAAAAAAAACAAACGAGCTGGCTGGATACATCTACAAACACATTGTTCAACAGGTAACTCCTTCACAGACCAATTTCGGCATTGCTTGAACAGTTATATGAACACAGTCGTCAAACAGTCATCACCAACAACAACAACAATCCTAGTGTAATTACACAAGTGGGGTCTAGGGAGGGTAGTGTGTACGCAGACCTTACCCCTACCTTATGAAGATAGAGAGGCCAACAGTCATCAAACGACATAATCACAAACACACAGCAAGAAGCACAAAATTATAATATAAGAAGTTTATCATCTCAGACGTGGCATAATTTAAGCTCTTGATACTAAATGCATCTAATCTTTTCAAGAGCACCAGAAATATTTCTTTTGCTCCAGTTCAAAAGCCAGTTACACTATTAGTGAATGTTTTCTGTTTCTTTATTATTTTCTAGTCTGAGAAATGCACATAATAGAGACTTAATTATAAATCATTTCATGATTTCCATTCTAACATAAAATTACACTGCTTTCAGGGGAAATCAGAACCCAACACCTTTAGGGGTCGTTTGGTATGCGGGGTAAGGTGGGATAAAGGAATAAATTTATACCGTCAACCAAACATCGTATAAACTTAGTCCCAAATTTAATCCTGGATATCCCATCTTATCCCACCTTATCCCATCAAACTTGGTATTATTTTACCTCACCTCCGGACCCAAGGTGAGATAAATTAGTCTAGGGACTATAATCCCGGGATAATTTAGTCCGCGAACCAAACGACCCCTTAGGATCGCAGATTGCTGCTTTAGCAACGGTTTCTCTTCTTTTTTCTTTTTTCAGAAAGGTAATATACCACTTTAGCAACAGTTATATCTGATACTAGGGTGCTCATTGTTATTTGACTCTTGACCAGGTTCGAACATCCAAACATTATGATGTTGGGGTTCTCAAGAGTCCTTTATTTTATAAGGTAAATTTTTTATTAAGATGGTACGGCAATTACATATAAAAAAGAAGGCTCAGTCTGTTTGACCATTACGCGTCGAGGAATTGGCTATGTAACCAAGGGTCTTACGACCTTCTTGGTTAAAAATGAGTCTTTGGAGTACTTTAAGATTAAATTACGTGTCTATTAATTGTGCTTGCGGGACGAGGTGAACATTGCAGACCATTGGTGGTCGATAATCGTTTTGACTGAATAGAAGTTGTTACAGCCCCTATAGTTGGACCAAGGACATCAAATGCCCCTGCCAGCAAATTTATGTAGTCTCCGTCATTGACACCTGTCAAGTCCTACTGCTGAGGCAGCATAATGAAGAGTAAGCAATAACTACAAAAGCAGCACAAGATCTATGTATCTATCATATTAAGACTATTATAGCACATTTTAAAGAACATCAAAACTCGTCCAAAGAAGTTGTAGTAATCTTCTTGAATTGCATTTTATTACTGTGATATGAATTGTATTTCTTAATATGGCGCTGTTCGAATGATTTATTCATGTGTTCACTTGTTTAAACATGGACACCCCTTACAAAAAATTCTGCATGTGCCAGTGGTTGCATTCAAGAAACAAGGATAAACGACCATTAGGAAAGAAAGTAGTAGAGTTTCAAATTCCTATTTCCCTATCACTCGCTCAATTGGAAGACGGTGTGTAGCTGACAATAAGAAGCATCATTTTGACAATTTGGTATTGCAAAGCAATCCTAAATGGAAAACTCAGAGCTGTGATACATATAGTAAAGAGTAAAAACGGTCTTCAAGGAATAGCATTTAAAGTTGGCACAAATATGACTATGCAAGACAAATAGTCCTATATTTAACGTCAATTATGTTTGCCTCTTACAAACATGTAGTTTCATCAGTACTGTGAGATTAGTGACACACTCTAACCATCCACAAGAGTTGATTATTAGTGCTAGTCCATGTAAGGCATATGTTCACAGAAAAACTAGCATATAATGTTAGTTAGCTTAGACATGTCACAAGGCCATCTTTAAAAATACAGCCAAAAGGATGCATCTCAAGAACCGGAGAACAAAATATAGAAAAAGAAGCAAACGAAGTCCTTTGCCACGGCGAAAAACTAAAAGTTGGAAGAAAATGAAAACCACTTCGTCATAGTCTCAATCTATGAGGAAAGAAAAACTTACTTGATTTTTATTAGCTTTTTTCCCTTTTAAACCTCTTCCCTTCCCCTTTCTCTCCCCCTTTCCCCATAACCCCACCCAAACAAGAACGTAAATGTTACAATATTGTGTGTGGTGATGCTTTTTCTCACAAGGTTCTCATTCTTTATAAATCTGTGGTGATGCTTTTTCTCACAAGGTTCTCATTCTTTATAAATCTGCATAGATTTGATATCATTAAAGAAAGTGTGAAACTATCTTTTTCACTGTTACAATAGGAAGTTTTAACTCACTTAGTTACCCTTCCAGTTCACCATGGAAGTGAATCATTTGTAAGTAAGACACATAGACAAAAACTTTATATCCTATCATACCAGACAACAACAATTATGCAAATGGTTTTTACCATTCTGTGCAGCTATGAACTCAAAGAAAGGAACTTTACTGTTGTCCTCAGTGACACAAGACGCTTGAGGTCAGGGTTATGTACCCCAGGGTTAGTCTGATAAACTACTCCATTTGAGAATTCTCTCCTTAACAGAACATCCTAACATTTCCATGAACAAAAGCGAAATATTTGCCCCTCCACACCCCCCCCCCCCCACACACACCCCACACACACAAAAAAAGCAAATGTTTTTATAGATATATCCTATGTGACTGGGTGCTTCATTCTCAGATTGGCTTTTAATGGTTACTTACAATACAATCTTCAGAGAAAACAGAAAAGACGGATGTTCCTAGCTTTGACATGACTCTTATACCACTTGACAGTTCCAAGTTTGAAAATAAGCTTGAAGACTGCTCTTACCAGGATTTAGGAGACTTTGCTGGCAACCAAAGCAATTCTTTGGTAACTTGTGAATATCTTTCAGAAGTGAGGGTGAAACATCATCAAATGGCCTTATTGGGAACAGGTGGTGATATGACCTTGCCAAATGTGGAGAAGACACAAGGGTCAGTCCACAGATACAACATTCAGTAGGCAGCTCACATACACGTGCTTTGCATCTCGGACAAGTGTATCCACCACCAACCTTAGCCTCTTTATGACATGAACAAATTGAAATGACACCCTCTGCTGCTCTTTGGGGGAATCCCATCTTGATCAAATTTGCAACAGCAAACTCTGCAATTGCTGGAGGAGGTGGGGCATGCTCTAATACCAACTCTTTTAAATGAGGCTGACAGGGCAATAACCATCAATCGAATCAAAAAAAAGTTTTAACAATATTGTTCAAGAAGTCGAGAAGCATGTGTGTTGTTCTAATCATTATTCATGAGACAGTTTTACATAGTAGGCAGTTAGAAACAAATGTCTCCTAAATTTCATACAAAAGATTTCTTTGTTATCTCACAGGTTTTCACGTTACCATTACTTCAGACCTCAATAATTCATTCTCACCTCATCCAACGCAACAAAATACATTCCACCAGTCTCTTGGCAGAGATGCTTGCATATATAGAGTTCGGCAGAGAGACCAATTACTGAGCACCTTATCTTAGACGCTTTACAGTTTTGGATGGTTTCGAGTATATCCCCCGGATCACATGTGCTAAGAGCAGAATACAAGATAAGGACTTCACGATGACCATATGATGGGATCTGATTTAGGAGGTCACACGCAAGATCTAGGCCATTCTGAAGGGATGCATCACCTGACGTCCCCAATTTACCCATCAATGCTTTGATATGAGCCTCCGGACTGCCACCAAGATCTGTTAAACACTGAGCTACTCCATCTTTCAAGATCACTAAGCCAATCTGACTGAGGGGATTCTGATCAAAAAATTCTCTTACAAACGCCTCCACTTGCTTAGCAACTACAACCATTCGGCTTGGTTTATAATCCATTTCTGCAGCTGCCTAAAATTCAAAATGCAAGCAATAATAACTCAAAAGTTTTATAAGGTTCAAGAAATCATGGTCGTTACTGTAGCTTTCAAAATTGTCCAGGCTTAATTGAAATGAGTACTTTAAAGTTTCTCTTTTAATAATTCCAGCTTTCTAGTACTCAAAGCATTTCAATTTTTGTTCGAGCTTTCCAAGTTGGCTTGGGTGTTGCGGAGCTATTATCATGTAGGATAAGTATCAAATAGATGCAATCAATTCTCAGAAACACTTTCAAGCAATGTGGACAAAGAAACCTAGGGAAAATGTCAAAAAGTTGGATGCTGACATCTTGAAAGGTGGAGAATTGTCAGCATGATCTTTACGTGTAAATGTTTATGATTGTTTATCACACCTTTTCAATTTTAAAAGAAAGCATGCAGTGCACTGATAAACGCAATTCTACTAAAGGGCCATTTTTAAAGGCAACAGCTGTCATTGGCAGACTCAGTTCACAATTCTCTCAGAATTTCAAAAATTGGTCCAAAGGAATCAATGCAATGTGCTGTTCAGGGGTACATGATGACATCAAAACTGAAAGTGGGTACTCACTAGAATATTAATTAAGTTTACTGCTCAAAGACGAGCACCCAATTGCATGCCATACAGCAGCGTAATTTTCTGACAAAATTGTTCAAAGTATTGGTTTCTTAAAACCATTACTAGAAACAGAAAAATACTTAGCTTTCTTAATATCTCATAGCATAATATAAACAAGTTGCAATCACTAAAACTTCAGCCCTAGAGTTCTTTAGAAGAATCAAACTGTATTCCTTATAAATAAGCATTTGCTAGCATCAAAAAGGGGATCGCCAGATTGTCCGGTACACTGGACGTCTGGACCCAATAAACTTTATCTTGAGATAACTCCTTTACAAACAGATAAAGTATAGATGCTTACATAATTTTTGCATAACTCTAAATCAAAAACTAAACCATCAAATGTCAGTAACCAACTATAGCAATGCACTGTTTGTACAATCATAAAGGATTACACATACCCTGGAGAAATCAATGATAACGTAAAGGTAGCGAATCAGGCCCTTCTGAACTCGGGCAGCTGTTGCAGTGCGGAGACGTCGTCGATACTGAGCATGGGATAGAGTTTTGTTGTCAATTGGACGAAGGAGTCCAGATTCATCCTCTTGCAAAGACTCCCATGATCGTTCATCTGCATAAGTTCTTTCCCACGCTTCTCGACCTCTCCCACTTTCGTCATCCTCATCCTCTTCTTCTCGGTTAAATCGTTTTTCTTCATTGTTCATTTTCCTGTCTGATATAATGCCGACTCTCAATATGATGACCAAATACTTGAGAAATTAACTGTAAAAAGCCAATATTAATACAAGAAGTTACATGTGGGAGTTCTGATCTCTTTGCATTATGCACCCTATTGTATACACTATTTCTCGATTTGCTTCCAGTCCTTGACTTTTTTTTTTTTTTTAGGGGGGGGGGGGGGGGGGGTTCCCTAAAGTGTGCACCATTTTTTTCATGAACACTATCCTTTGTTGTTTTATGGTTTGTCCCTTATTGTGTGCACCATTTCTTGGGTTTGCACCCTATCTTTATTAAAATTATAAAACATTCCATTTGTGAATGGGCAAAAGAGGGATGGTTTCTTTATTAAAATTATAAAACTTTCCATTTGTGAATGGGCAAAAGAGGGATGATACCATTGAACAACATCTACAACTATGGAACACTGTAACACTACATTCCGCATCTAGTCATCTCTATATTCATTCATTGCGACGTTTTCAGTTCCACTTTTATAACACATGCTCTTAAAGGACTTCTCAATGGAGGAATATGCTAAAAGTTTCATTTTTAAGAAGATTGCTTCAATAATGAAGACATAAATACGTACAATCAAAAGGATCTTGTTGGATTTTACTAAGGCGTGGAAAGCCGAATTCCATTTTTTTTTACTGTGAATATGATCACGATCGAAAGAATTTATGAAGCTAGTCGCCTAGTCAGGTGAAGGAGGAAAAGATTGACCAATGTGGGAAAGGAGTTTTTGAGGCATGTGTTTTTGTATGAAACTTTATCATAACATTTAATCAACAGATGCATGATCACCAAAATGTATCAAATCAAAACCAGAAAATCAGCAGAAAATTAGACATGAACAACCCAAAATCACAAAAAAAAAAAAAAAAAAAAAAAAAAAAATTAATCCTAACAAGGTAAATAACCCAACACAATAGGAGAACCCCTCAATTGAAATGCAGTAATTTCTAAAGATTTTGCAGAGGTAAAAGATAATTAGCTTACTTTACTCGTAGTGCGCCGACCAGCTACCCTCGCCGGTGAATTTGGCCGACACGGAGCCGGCGGTTGAGTGGAAGAAGAAACTGAGAACCAGTTAACCTACAATTTCAAAGTAGGATCTGCTCTTTTCAATGCTACACAGCGGCTCTGTAGTGTATTTTGATTCGCCGGAGAGGAGAAAGAAACAAGAGCTTGGCTTTATAAAAACTGAAAGTGGTAGTAGAAAATTGGAGGACTAAGATTTAAGCTTATTTAGTGTGGAATTAATCTTAGGGTTAGTCACTCTGTCCATCTAAAATAGAACGCTACCACGTACTATTACTCTGTTTTATTTTATAGGACTTTGCTCAACGGAAGACCAATTTAAGAAAGAAAATAAAGAACTTTGATATATTATACCACAACAACAACAACAATAGTCTCAAATGGTATCTCAGGACGGTAGATGTTTAACCCAAAAATAGTTTTTATGGTCAAAACTAATATTAAGGAATATTAAGCAAAAATCGGGTTACTAATAACCAAAATTACTTCACTTTCTTGGTAATACAAAAATAAAGTAATTAATTGAATTAATAAGTAAAGAAAAGAAAGTTTATTGTTGGTGGCTGATCTCCCCCAGAATTGCGGATTGGAATTTTTAATCTGTATTGGGTAAAACTGAGTTTATACATATCGAACTGATTGAAAGATGACATGTCATGACACGTAGGCAGGTAAAAGAATGGTGATTAAGCAAAGAGGCACGAGTTGCAACAGATACGAGCGGAAGCACAAGAAGAGGCACGAGCAAATATTCAAAAGACTCGATGCTCGTACCTAATTAAGTCTAAAAGCTGAGAAGAATGAACATGACAACACAAGAGAGCCCAGATACAGTGTTTAATAAGCATTAAATATTGAAAACGTTAGAGAATCTGTTAATTGCAATGATTATGTAACGTAGCATTTAATGCCTTTAATCGTCCATAATGACCTTATTATGGCAAAGGCAAAACATATAACTTAAAAATAGCTATAAAAGGAAGAAGACTGATCATTTGTAAGGACACGAAAATCAACTGAATACATTGATTTACTTTGCTTTTTGCTATCTAACTCATTGTTATCAATTTCTTTTGCTCATTATTGATTATCAGTAACCCGATTTCTTCTAAACTTAAAGCTTTGACTGAAATTCTATTTTTTGGTTAAACAAATTGGTTCCGTTATCGAAAATCTGATAATCTATTCTTTCTTAACCTTATCTATTTCGTTACATCAACAATCATGTCAAATGTTAACGATAACACCCAAGGAAACCAAGGAAACCATCAACACCGAGGGGACCCACAAGATGTTCACACTGCGATCCCTTCTCCACAAAGTTCGCCTCGTCGGTCTCGAGAAGGAACTCCTGATGGATCTCACTCAAATGCAAATGCTCAATTTAACAACGATGAAGCTATCAATGAAACTTTGCAGAAGTTGATCGCTCAACAGGTCAATAAAGCTCTTGAGGCTTTTGCCAGCCAATTACCTGTTGCACCATCAACACCAATTCCAAATACCAACACTTTGGAAACCCCTCGTTCTGGGCTTGTTAATTCAGGCAGTGGTGGAATTCCCAGTGAATCACGAGAGGGAGAACCAGGTAACTTAGTCAATTTCGATTTACAAAATTTAGTTCTAACATTGCGGAAATAGCTCAAGGAGCAAAGTGACCGCATAGAGAAAATACCTGGAGTACCGCCTGTAATCAAAGGAATCGATATGGACAAATATTCACAGCAACCTTGGAAGCCAAGCGCTACTCCTCTACCAATTCCAAAGAAGTTCAAAATGCCCGATATTCCAAAATACGATGGAACAACTGATCCACGAGACCACGTGACTGCATTCACAACTGGCGTAAAAGGCAACGATTTGACCAAACAAGAAATTGAATCAGTAATGGTCAAAAAATTCTGTGAAACACTCACTAAGGGAGCATTAACACGGTACTCTCTTTTACCCGAAAATTCCATAAATTCTTTTGCTGAGCTTGCAGATTCATTTATCAAAGCACATTCGGGAGCTCAAAAAGTCGAAAAGAGACTGGAGGATATTTTCAAAATCAAACAAGGGGACTCCGAGTTGCTTAGAGAGTTCGTGGATAGATTCTAGCGTGAGAGAATGACGTTACCCCGTGTACCAGATAATTGGGTAGCTATAGCTTTCACTAGTAATTTGAATGAGAAAAGCTCAGAAGCCACGAGGCGACTCAAGGAAAGTCTTCGTGAATTCCCAGCAACGACGTGGAATGACGTTTACAACAGGTATAACACGAAGTTAAGGATCGAAGAAGATATTATCTCACAATCTCAAAAAGAAGAAAAGGTTAGTTCAAGACGGGCAGAAACAAAAAAAAGGTCCGGTAAAAATAGGTACGAACCATATATGGGCCCAGCTGGAAAAGATTCACGGTCAAAGCGTGATCATTCAAGGTATGACCATAGATCTAGAAATAGAGAATCAGGCTCATCATCGAGGTATGGAAATGATCGTAACACACAAGAGTCACGAGATGATGATAGAAACTTGAAGGCACGATTTGGCGGTTATAATTTCAATGTAAGCACTTCCGAGCTCGTAGCTGTTTTAAGAAGCATGGGTGATAAAGTTCGGTGGCCAAAAGAAATAAGATCAAATCCAAACAGGCGTAATCCTGATCACTAGTGCGAATTTCACAATGATTATGGTCACAAAACGGCAGATTGCAGGTTGCTACAAGGTGAAGTTGATCATCTGTTGAAGCAGGGGTATCTCACTGAGTTATTTAGCGAGAAAGGTAAGCAAGCATACATGAAGAATAGGCAGGAGCCCCCTAAACCGCCTTCTCCAAAAAGGACTGTTAATGTTATAAGCGGGGGCGAAGAAATCAATGGTGTGACGTATACAGCAGCAAATAAAGTATCCAAAGTCACGATTACCCACGGGAAGCGGGTGCGACATGTATTAGAGGAAGAAATCATTACGTTTGATGATACAGATGCGGATGGTGTATTAACTCCACATAACGATGCACTAGTAATATCTTTACTTGTACATGACACTAATGTGAAACGAGTTTTGATTGATCCAGGTAGCTCTGTGAATATTATTCTGCTAAGAGTTCTGCAGGAGATGCAAATTAGTACCCAAGGCGCATACTTTGTCTGGGTTCGACAATTCTCGCGTTGTGACGAAAGGTGAGGTAATACTTACTACATTTGCAGAGGGGGTCGTCAAGGATACAAAATTTCAGGTGGTAGAGATGGAGATGGCTTACAATATGATTCTCGGAAGACCGTGGATCCACGAGATGGACGTCGTTCCGTCAACTTTACATCAAGTTATTAAATTTCCATCACCATGGGGAATACGTCAAATCCGTGGAGATCAACAAACATCCAGGAGTATCAACTCCGTGGCAGATTCAAGTATGAGGAACGAGAAAATAGCAGTTACAGAATCTAGTTGAGGGTTACACAGCACGT